ACACACACACACACACACACACACACACACACACACACATACATACATACACACACACACACTCGCGCTCGTACTCTCACAAACGATGTACAAGTACAATCCTCCCCTTCCCCCACGTCTCTCTCTCTCTCTCTCTCTCTCTGTCTCTCTCTGTCTCTCTCTGTCTCTCTCTGTCTCTCTCTGTCTCTCTCTCTCTCTCTCTCTCTCTCTCTCTCGTTCTCTCTTGCCAGCGTTCAAATAAAAGTAATACACCTCTCTCAAATGATATTACATATCGATCTTTAAAGTGAGGGAGTCACTAAAAACGTAATACTATCATCTTAATTAAACGTTACCCCCTCTCCTTCGTCTCTCTCTCTCTCTCTCTCTCTCTCTCTCTCTCTCTCTCTCTCTCTCTCTCTCTCTCTCTCTCTCTCGTTCTCTCACCCTTGTCCATACGCGCATATAGACAAGCATGTGGCAGTATTTAAATAATAGTAATAAAACTCACCCAAATGATATTACAATATCGATCTTTAAAGTGAAGGAGTCCCTGAAAATTCCGTACCATAATCTTAATAATACAATAACCTCCCCCACCCTCCACTTTCCCACCTCAAGTTTTTATTCTCTTCTTCCCACTCACCCTCGACCATAGCAAACACCCCTCGTCTCGTGTACTGACGCCCAGGCGACAAACCTAGTGTTGTCAGAAAGGTATGGGTTTTTACGACCGTGACGTGTCACTGTTTTCCTTATTTTGAAGGGAGAGAGGCTGATGATAACATTCTCCTGGTCGCCGTGGTACAAAAGGCGTATTGTGTGCGGTGGTCCGAGCTGGGTGACGTCTGCGGTTTCTATTTGCTGCTTTCTTTGAAGGAAGGGGGAGTGGATTCTTTGCGTTATTATATTATTATTGCTATTCAAACAAAGATACAGTTGGTTATCAATCGCTGCGTGCGTGGACACGGACTGGAGTTTCAGTGGCCGGGCTCTTCCGAGTCAGGATTTTTAACGAGAATAGTATACTAGAGACGGAGAAAGGATTAAGACTATTTTCTGACTACTGCAGATTCAGGTAACGGTAAGCTTCTCATTTTTCTTTTTAATTCAGCGTTTGAAATACTAATGTGTTATAAAACCCAGTTTCTCTCAAATGTCTCTTTTAATTTGGCAATTTTTGGTATGGGCATTTCATGAAGAAAGAGAATTGGTGTTAGGTGTTAACTTTTCTTCATCTTCATTGTGGTAACCACTGTTTAATCAAAACAGCAATTGGATGAGTGATACATTGTATTTTTGTGCCTTTGACAGCATTTTTTTTAAAGACAAACGATTAGGCCGAACATGGATTCTTATCAAATAATATGGCAGGGTGAGCATTACAAGATATTGCGGACTTGAACTGCTTTTGGGCTTTATTTGAACAAAGCAGATACTATAGGTTTGAGATGTCGTGAAATGATAAACTGAAAAGTTTACCCCACGAAGTTTATTAGCTTCACGTCACTTTGATGTCGCCTATGCGGATAGGTGTTTGCGGTTGACTTGATAGATGCCATGGGTTGGTTTTTTATTTTTATTTTTATTTCATTTTTTTCCTAGGGGATGGGTATTTTGTTTGGTGGGTGCTGGGTAATTATTTTAAAAAAATTAATATTTATTATTTGTTTTATGAGAGATTCAAAACATGTGAAAAATGTCCCTTATACCTATAAGGGTCAGGGAGTTTGATAATTTGATCATTATTCTTTTAGATGGCCAGTTCATTCTATTTTAGAACCTCGGTCACTTGCAGGGTCATACAGCGATCAAGCATGAGTTTACAGCTTTTCTTCACGTATTCTGTCTCCTCCCAGTACTTAGTGGCCCTATCTACTTGTAGCTGTTTCATTACTAGAAGAGCGGAGAATCGAACTTATTTTTTAAAATCACACGTCCTGTGTGTGTGTGTGTGTGTGTGTGTGTGTGTGTGTGTGTGTGTGTGTGTGTGTGTGTGTC